AATAATAATAATAATAATAATAATAATAATAATAATAATAATAATAATAATAATAATAATAATAATAATAGTAATAACAGTAATGAAAATAAAATAGTAATTCAAATGATAATATTAATAATAATAATAACAGATAATGCAGCAAGATTATTATTTTCCCAAAAAATAATCATTTTAAAATAAATATTATGAGCAAATGAGCAAAGATTTTTTTTATTCTCAAGAAATCGGTCAGTGAAAAAAAAAAAGATTTACCAAAAAAATAATAAAAAAAAATAATGATAATAACAACAACAACAACAACAAAGATATCAAGAAAGATATAACGAAATAAAAAATAAGTCTGCATAACAAACAGACGCCACGTACTCGAAAAATTCAAACATTCGAAATATTCGAAAATAATTGTCGTCGAAATTAATATATTTGGTATGTTACGGATTTCGGCTGCCCGATAGATAGATAAATAATAATACACAAATCTATATTTATAAATTAGATTAAATGGCTAAATCATTATTATTATAATCAATATAATGAACATTATCCGTCCGTTATAGATCATGTGAGTGTAACAATAAAAAAAAATGGTTGTGATGTGAAATTTTCCATTCCATTTTCCATTCCATTTTCCATTTTGATAAAACAAATGAATTAATGAATTTCATTTTTTGGGGTCAAAATTAAAAATAACAATAACCGAATCAAAAAATAAACGAATAAAAAATAATTGAATAAAAAAAAATAACTGAATAAAAGATAACTGAATAAAAAAATAACCGAATAAAATAAAAATAATAAAATAACAATAAAAAATACGCGAATGAATGAATGTGATTAATTTATTTAATTTATTAAATTAATATACTGTATGTGCTCTATATATATATTGTATTTTTTATATTACATATATCGTTCTCAATTTAAACTATTAAAATTATATAATTAACTGACTGTTAGATAACGAAAATGTGATTAATGGAATGAAATATGGAAAATTTTTGATTCGTTAATAAAAACAAATGATTTTCCTTATTGGTAAAATCTTGAATGTTATAATTCTCGCGTGGATAATTACGAATAATTGTGATTTAATTTAATTTAATTTTATTTAACTTGTTTATTTATTTATTTTATTTTGTTTATTTTAAATTTATTTTATTTTTTATTTTTTTTCGTTTTTTTTTTTAAAAAAAAAATAAAATAAAATAAAAATAAAAATAATAATAACGATCATTTCTTCAGTAATTGGGTATGCACATGATACACATTAATGCACATGACGGATGCCATATATGCAATATATGAAAGCAAGCAAGCAAATAAGCAAGCAAGTTATGTTTATTATGTAATAGAATAACAACAATAAACACATGGTTAAAATAGTCAACACGGCATAATTAACTTGTTTAACTAAATAATTCTGGTCAAAGTTGGTCATCGTTAAAGTCCGTCGTCGCCACATTTCATCGAAATAATCGAATTAGTTAAAACCTTCTTTGTATTTGTTTATGTTTTTGTTCATTATTCATTTATTCATTATTATTATTATTTATTATTATTATTGTAATTTACCCATTTTTCGAAACCAAAGAGAAAAAAAAAAAGAAAGAGTTGAGTTAGATCTCAAGAAGAATCATTTACGCCTCGTCTTTTTCGTTATTATTATTATTATTATTATTATTATATCATTGTTATTATTATTATTTACATACATCCATACATACATACATGTATGATTTGTTGTTGTTTTTTCCCTTCATACATATGTGTATAAAATTTATATAAGTTTATTACTTGCATATTCATTTTCTTGTTTACTTGTTTTATTTATAATCTTTCTTCTCTTCTCTTCTTACACTTTATTCTTTGAAATTTTTTAAAACATTAAGACCGTGTTACACACACATACTCACAATTTGTTGTATTTTCGGAGTTTGAAAAAAAAAAATGGAATAATAATAGGATTTAGGTAAAATTTTAAATTTATGCTATGCAACGCGTATTTGATTACTTATTATTACTTATTATTCTTATTTAACTACTTAACTAAAAAAAAAATTGTTGTGAAAAAAAAAACAATTAACTCCAAAATTAGGTTTTTCATTGTATATTGTTTTCTGTTTTGCATAATGATAATAATAAATAAATAAAAAAATTTCAAGATTAATTTTTTTTTTTTAATCAAATTCGTATAATTTATATAATGTAATCATTGTTTTTACATATTTTTACATACAATATTTATTGCCACAAATAAATAAATAAATTGCAAATAAATAAATTGTAAATAAATAAATAAATTAATTAATTAAATAATCAAGTTATATCATTATACTATGAGGTGTTTTTTAAGTTTTATATACTTTGGGGTTAAAGCAGCAGCAAGAACAGAATTAGAAGTAGAAGATGCAGGTACAAAAGTAAGTTAGAAGGAGGAGAAGAAGTACAGAAGCAGAAGCAATAGGGGAATAGGGGAAGCAATAAAAGTAAAAGAGCAACCTTTGTACAAAATTGGTAATTCTTGAATGTAAATATATTTTTAGTCATCATCCTTTGAATGTAATAATAATGTCATCCTTGAATATTTCTTATCCTTGGGAATGTATTTGTTATTAAACTTTTGTATTTTTTTTTTTTTTGTTCTCGAGAATATTTGGTAACCTATAAGGATTAACTGTATGATTAACTGTATGATTAACTCTATTCGTTGAGTGAGTGGTTATATAATTAGCTATTTGTGAGTGAGTAAAAAGTATGATGTGATTATGATTAACTGTATGATATGATTAACTAGATGATTAACTATATGAGTAATTATAAATCAAGCCATTTTAAGAATGACATTAAGGAGAATTCGTATATAATTTGTTGATCGAAAGATACTATTCAAATTTCGACGAAAGAGTTATCCAGTAAAATAAAGGCCGAAATTTGCCTTATCATCATTTATTATAGAGCATATGTGAGTTGATTGCATAGTTTAAAATAGATATAATTTTCTTTATTTAAATAAAAAAAAAAAAATACCCATAACTTACATAATAAATTAAAAATATAATAAATTAAAAATATAATAAATTAATAATTAATGATAAATTAATAATTATTAATAATGATATAAAATTAACATGAATAAATAAATAAATAAATTAATTAATTATTAATAATAATAATATATAAATTAATAAGTTATGAAATTTCAGAATAAATTTCATTAATTTCTTTCTGATACCTAATTTTAGCTTGATGCCTCTTTAATTTAAAAGTTGGGGTTAACAGATTATTTTGTAAGGTGAATTGTTCATGAGTTAAATGAATATTTTTCACATTTTCAAATCCTTTTAAACCATTGGCTCTACCATACTTTTGTAAAGTTTGTAAAATATGTTTTTTCACTTGAGAATTATTACAAAGTTCTTGATAATTGTAATTCCCGAGATTATTATTCTTGGCCCAAGGTAATAAAGTTTCGGGATCGGGAACAATTATTGCTACCAATGAGGATTGTAAGGAGTCTCCGTGTATAAAGGCTTGTGCCACCAATTCATGTTTTTGATAGACATTTTCAATCTATAAAATATTTTTTTATTTCAGTATTTAATATATTTTTTCAAAATTCAGTATTTTAATATATCTCAATATTTTCAATATTTTATAATTACCTTCTCGGGAGCAATATATTCGCCTTGAGCCAATTTAAAAATATTTTTAACTCTATCAATGATAACTAATCTTCCTAAGTCATCCCACATTCCAACATCCCCGGTGTGGCACCATCCTTTTTTATCAATTACTTCGGCAGTTTTTTCGGGACTTTTATAATAATATTGAAATAAAGCATTCCCCTTCACACAAATTTCACCTCTTGGATGAGGTTTGTCCTTTGATGTGTAGCTCATTTCCGCTACATCAACTAATTTGATTTCCGTACAAGCTTGAGGTGGTCCTACGTGACCTGATGATGTATCTCCGTGTTGAGACTATATTATATAATGAGAGAACGAGAGATAATATTGAGATAATATAATCTATCTATAATCTATAAATAATATATAATTAATTAATATATACATTATATAAATATAAAGTTTATACTTGGAGATGTCGTGAGATAAATCGGTTATATTTACCAAATAACTACGCCATCACCTTAACGATAATTACTACTTAGAATATTTTTTAATTTAATTTTAATCACTTACCGCGGTTAAACCAGAAGCATTTTCGGTTTGACCATAACCTTCATAAACATCAGCCGAAAAACTAATCCTTAAAAAATCCATGACTTCCGAAGAAATTGGGGCAGAACCTGATATAATGGTTTTCATTCTTCCCCCAAATTTCGCACGAATTGGACTAAATATAGTTTTATCCCACATCCAATGATCGACGTGACCTTTTTGTAATCCATTCTTTTTGGCATTATAAGCGGTATTAAATAATAATTGAGAGGCTCCACCTTTAGATTTTATTGAAGCCATCACTTTATCATAAATTCGATTAAGTATTCTTGGTACGGAAACAAATATCGTAGGTTTTAATTCCGCTATATCATCTAATAATTTTAATATGTCACCTTGATAAAAACCTATTGAAGCTCCATGATAAATAATTATAGATTCATTGGTTCTTTCAAATACATGAGCCAAAGGTAAATGAGAAATATGAATATCATTTTTTGTGATTTTAGGAAATTTCCCTTTCTCCGCCAAAAAATTCGTACTTCCAATTACGGACACGAAATTTTTATGAGATAAAACTGCACCCTTAGGTTTACCGGTGGTACCACTGGTATAACTAATAGTTGCAATATCTTCAGGTTTAGGATTAATCGCTTCAATGGGATTAGTAATTCCATCATTTTCAACCGTATTAAAATCTATAATTTTAACATTAACTTCTTGAGCCAATTCAATTAAATCTTGATCATGATCAAATTCATCTGAAATGATTATTACTTTAAGTGTTGGTAAATATTCTTTCATCTCCAATAAAATACGAGCCTTATTTGCGGTAGTTAAACAATATTTCATTTCTGTTTGATTAATAATAAATTCAATAGCTTCGATACCTAAAATATCATAAAGTGGAACTAGAATGAAATTATATTGATAACATGCAAGTTCTCCAATGACCTGAAAAATTAATTATTATTATTACTTATTATATATTAATTAGATTTTTATTATATATATAAAAGACTACATACATATTGAGGGTTATTTTCCGAAAAAAATCCTAGGATTCCTTTTGTATCTAATTCAAGTTTTCTTAAACCGGATCCAAAATTGGCGACACGTTTTTGAACTTCAGGATATGATTCCCAGACATATGGACCAGCAATTCCTTGATTTATTTGTCTATGACCTAAGAAGTTACCTCCTTCTATATATGGGTAATTAATTTTAATAATTTATTAATTTATTAATAATATTAATTTGAATAATTAATTAATAAATAAATATATATATATTTATATTTTTTTTTTTACCAGATTCAATTATTCCATGTAAAAAGTTTTCATATAAAGTAGTTGCACCGGGAGGAAAATCAATTAATTTATCAGGTGAAGAAGCATTACGTCTGGGTTTTCCTTCTCCAGGAATTTCGGGTGCTCCAGGAACTTCTACCGATTGTAAAGAAGTTTTTTCTTCTTTTATATAATTATCCATATTTTTATTATGTTTATGTTGTTGATTCATTAATTTCATTAATTCGTTAATTCAAAGAAAGAAATAAATCTCTTTTTTTTTTCTTAAGAAAAGAATAATGATCATATCACATTTAACATTATTTAATCATAATTATCTATCTAATCATCATTTGTTTACATACCTTCTTCTCCTTGTAATCTGTATTACACATCATGATATCTATAAAAGTATTTTATTATTATTGTATATTGCACGCGGTAATATTTAATGAAAATCATTCATTTAATTTCCCGACCCCATTTTTTTTTTTTTTGATTTTCATTTTCTAAATAAAAATAATTTATAATAATAAAATGTATCAACGATTCATTAATCAATTATTACCAAAATGTTCTCATAATATTATTCAAACTAAACAAGAAATAAAATGGCTGGTTTTTCATATTAATAATAAATATAATAATAATAATAATAATCTTAATAATAACAATAGTAATAACAATAGTAATAACAATAACAATAGTAATAATTATAATAACATTAATTACGATAATGACATTAATTATAATGATAATCTTAATCTTAATCTTAATAATAATAATAATTTATCAATAAAAGACATTATTGAAAAAAAGTTTAATGAAAAGGAAAGAGAAATATTAAGTGAATTGATTAAGGAACGAGTGGAACAATCTAAACCATTACAATATATATTAGGGACCCAACCATTTTGTGATTTAGAAATTATTACTAAACCTCCGGTCTTAATTCCGAGGTAAGTTCAATTTAATTTAATTTAATTTTTAATTTATTTAATTTAATTTAATTTTTAATTTATTTATTTGATTTATTATTCAATTCAATTCATCAATTTATTTATTACTACGATACAATTTGATACGATTAATATAATTAATAATACAATCAATGAATACAATTTAGGTGGGAAACAGAAGAATGGACATTTCAATTAATTACAAAACTTAATCATCTCTTTTCCATCAAATATAATAATAATAATAATAATAATAATAAATATAATATTTTAGATATTTGTACTGGTTCAGGATGTATAGCGTTATCTTTAGCTTATGGTTTACCACCAAATACTTGTCAAATTTATGGAATTGATAATTCAGATGATGCTCTTTCTTTAGCAAATCTTAATTTAGCAAACCTTAAAAATAATAATAGAAATAATAATAATAATAATAATAATAATAATAATAATAATAATAATAATAATAATAATAATAATAATAATAATAAT